ACCCGGCGAGGTCCCCCAGAGGCCGACATCTGCCAAACATTGTTCATTGTCCTGTTGTGGTTGTTGTTGTTGATGGTGTTGTTGCTGCTGCTGCTGTTGTGGTTGTTGTTGTTGTTCTTGTTGTTGTTGTTGTTGTTGTTGTTCGTGTTGTTGTTGTTATTATTGTTATTGTTATTGTTGTTGTTGTGATTGTTGGTGCTGCCGTTGTCGTTGTAGCTGTTGTTGATGTTGTTGGTTATGAGTATTATTATTGTTGTTGTCGTCGTTGTTGTTGTGGTTGCTGTTGTTACCTTCTGTTGTTCTTCATCTATATATATATATATGTATGATAAGTTGAAGAAGAACAACGCCATACAAAAAAGCAGTGGGGCTCCGCGCGGATTTCTTGGATCCGCGCTGGCCCCCCCCCAGCGGCGCCTCCGGCGCGGCCTCTGGCGCGCTCCGCGGGCCAGGGAGGGGTTTCAGCGCGGATCCAAGAAATCCGCGCGGAGCGCCAACAGTTTATGTTTATGTTTTTTGTTAAGTATAACATTTTTTGTAATGAGGCGATCCTGTTTGGGTCCTGGCCAGGGCGTGGCTTCCTTCCCAGGCCCCTCTCGGTTCAGAGGCCCTCTCCAAACATTAAGTTGGGCCTGTCCCTCAATACGAGGCATATTCGAAAATAGGAAAACATGAGTCTGGGAACGTTTTTTGTTGTTGTTTATATAATGTTGCATATATATATATGTATGTATTGATATATTGATATATTGATATATTGATATATTGATCTATTGATATATATATATGTATATATTTGTATATGTTTACATTTATGTATATATCTATGTGTATAGATATACACTTGTTTCACCATGTTTGAACACTTGGGGAGTATGTTTTTTTTCATTTTTTCCTTTAGAATCTGCCTGTAGGGGGACATGCCCGACCTACTTTCAGAGGCCCTCTCCCAACAGGACTGGGCAAACCTGCCGGCCGCGGTCGCCGAGGCGCTGGCCCCCGAGGTGCGGCCGCCGGCGCAGCCGCGGAGGTTGGCCTCGTTCGGCCGCGCGGGGCCTCCCAAGCGGCACTGGGCCTCCAGCGGGCACGGGGGGCCTGACGTCCGTGCGTCGTGAGGGAATCTGGTTGGCCCGGGAGGGGGTCCGGGGTCCAGAGACAGGGGGGTGGTGTAAAAGATCTGGTGTAATATATTTGTGGGGTCGCAACAGGTCTTTCTCGTTGGCTTTTTCGCGTGGCCCCGGCGGAGGAGCGGGCCCCGCCAGGGAGAGGCTTAGCCTTCTCGGGAGCCGCGCTGCGAGCCCAGCGTGCCCTCGGCGGGCCGCCGGCCCGCCGCCCCCCCCCGCGACAGCCACCGGAGCGGCAAGCCGGGGCGTGAGAGACGAGGGTCGGTGCAAACGAGGGCCAGACCCAGACCCCCCCCCCCCGAGGTCCGACAGAGCCACGACGGGAGGTCCTTCGCCATCTGCGGCCCCTGGGGGCCCTGCCCGGCTTGCCTCGGGACCGTCCACAGCACGGGACGCAAGACGTGCCGCGCTGGCGGCCCGCGCGCGTAAGCCACCACGGAGGGTCGCCACGGCGTCGCGCGCGGGGTCCTGGTCTGATCGTCGCTCGCCTGCTCGCGCTGGCCCTGCCTGGCCAGGTTCCAGGCCGCTTGCGCGCGGCGACGGTTAAGTCGGGCCTGTCCCTCTTCAGGGGGAATATTCCAAAACAGTAAACAGATAGTATGGGGACTCTTTTTTTGTTTAGCGGTTGACTATTTGAGAGTATTGTTGGGGGTATGTTTCATTTTTCGCCCAAAATTCGCCTCTAGGGGGACACGCCCGACCTAAGGCGACGGGGAGGGGGGGCCGGCAGGCCCAGGACGGGGACAGGTCGCTCCGAGAGCGCTCCGGCGAGCCAGTGTTGTCCCGTTCGTGGCTTCGTCTTACAGCGGCAGCCCATGCCAAGGAACACACTGCTTGCCTCCAGGGTGCCCTGGGCTTCTTGGGTCTCGATGGCTCTGCTCTATGGAAAGCGTGGCGTTCCCGCTTCAAAAATCAATGGACCTCCTGGGGTCTCAGGGTCGGGTTGCTTGTGGAAGGTTCCTCGTGGTCGAGCTCCTGCTGTACCAGTACCGCTACGCATCCCTCGCCTCGAGCTTCTGGTCAGGACGCGCCCCTGGAGAGGCCTGGGGAGCTGCGGTATCGTCACCACTTTGTCCGCCCCCACCTCTGGGCGGCCAGGCAGGTGTGCGGTTGAAAGGCACCTACTTCGAATATGTGCCGCTGGGGTGGGGTTGTGGTCGTTTCTTTATCCATTGTTTTGCCGATCGGCGCGGGCCCTCGCCCCCCCCCTCCACCCCCCCCAATGGAGTAGATCTTGGCTGTTCTTGGCGCCCGCTTCGAGCCGGCGGAGCCTCCCCCGCGGGACGCACTGCTGCCAACGGTCGCCCTCAGCAGAGGCCCGGGGCCAGACGCCCTCCCTCCCCCCCCTCTTCCGCCCAATGCCGAGACGCCGACTACGAGAGTCCGCTCACGTGCTGCTCTCCGCAGCTGCCCGCGCCGTGCTCGCGGGCCCCCGTGCCCATGGAGGCCCGCCGCGGCGGGAGGCCCCCCCCCCAGAGGCCTGCCGCCCGGCGGCGTGCCGCGGTGGCCCGGGTGCCCACCGAAGCAGAGGGCTTCGCCGCGCTGCTTTTGTTGCCCCCCCCCCGGTTCCCACGTGGCAGGATGCAGCTCCTGCAGGCGGTGACGTTCTGCATCGGCGCTGGTGCACCCCCGGTTTTGAGAACTGGCACCAGCTGGCCTCCCACGTGCCAGGAGGCAGCTCCTGCAGGAGGTGAAGTTCTGCATCGGCGCTGGTGCACCCCCGGTTTAAAACAAACTGGCACCAGCTGGCCGAGTCCTTTTTTGTACTTCTGCCGAATCCGGCTTACAGTACCGGGCTTCATCTGGCTCGATGCATTCCTAATCGGCTTAGCAGCCCTGAATCCGTCGCGCTGACGAACATCTCCCAGGAGTTGCCTCCCAACAAATGGGGTCGAAGTTGATGGGGTCAGAGGATCGCATCGCATCGCCGATACATCGGCAATGCGGCGCGATGGGGAGCCCGATTTTCTCCTCGCCAACGTCGCCGATGCATGGCCGACGTCGCCGATGCATCGCTAATGCATCGGCGATGCGGCGTGATCCTCCGACTCCACCTACTCGGACCCCACTTGGGAGGTCTCCATTGGGGTGCTTTTGGTTGGTCATCTGAGGCAAATGACGCTGCCGCGCCTAACAGCACGCGGCGGGTCACTCTAGAGCAGCATCACCCTGCAGTAACAGCAGCATCCCCTGGAGTCACGCGGGATCGGCGTTCGAAGGGAGGGGCCGCCCCCAAATGCGTTGGCTCAACCTCGAGGTCAGCCATAGGTGCAGATCTGGTCGAGGTTGGACTTTCCTGGAGGCCAGTGGTCAATGGAGCAGTACTTCGACGCATCAGCATCGACTCGGATCTATCTGTTCTGGCCGCGCTGCACTGGGCCGAATCGACCACCGCGTCTGCTTTGAGTGGCTCAGAGTGCTTTGAGGAGCATCCTTGAGACCTTGCGCAGCATACGTCCGTCCCGTAAGACATGGGAGCGATTTCCGACGCAAATCCGACGTGCATCCCACGTAGTCTAGGTTTCGAGTTGCCGGGCGAGGACGTCCACGACCCCCCCCCACAGAGATTGTGCCACACCCATCCCTCCACTGCCCAGGTCTGGGTCGTACAGTCGGTGCGCTGAAGAAGGAACCCTTTTCGTTGGGGAGGGGCTCGGTGTTCCTTGATTGTTTCACAGCCTGCCTCAGGTTTTCCTTGTTTTTTCGATGGGAGATCGAAGTTGAACTCATGGAGAACAAGGGGCCTCGTTCCTTATTCAGGGTTCCTTAGGTCCACGCCCCGGCTGTATCGGTCCAGGGGTTCGCCCGCATCGTGTTTTTGAGGTCCGCGGCCACAGCAGAGGCCCTAAAACCCAGTTCTCCCAGGGCCGTGCTTCGCCCTGGACCCATTTGTTTGATTCTTCCTGGGGCCCGGTGACGGGCCGCAGGGGCCGGCATCCATGACAAGACGCCCAGACCCAAGCAAGCAGATCGGCGGGCACCTGGGTATCTACGGCCAGGAACTCTGGCTTCGCGTGTCGCGCCGCCAGGCCGCCTGAGGCCCCGCCTCCCCCTGTGCCCTGTCTCTCTCGTTAAAGCTGTGCGTAGCCCGCCCAGCTTTTAGCGGAAGAGGTTCGCTCTCGCCCCGCAGATCGAAAAAAAGTGTCGCGCCGCCAGGCCTGGCCCACCGCGCTACGGCGCGACACGCTGACCAGGTGCCTGTTTTCAAGCGCCAGCGCCCCGAGCATTCATCCGCCTCTCGCCCCGCGGAGCGGAGCGACACGCTACCCGCCTGCAGGGCATAGCGTGCCGCCAAGGCCGCCGCTGCGACACGCTATGCGACGGTTCCCGACCGTCGCCAGGGAGCGTGGGCGTCTCCCTGTGGGGGGTTCGTAGAAGAGGAGGGGGCGCCCCAAGGTGGGGTCAGGGACCGAGCCCAGTTGGTTGTTCACACTTGTTTCTTCCAGTGGCCTATTGGAAGGGCTTTACTTCCCCACCTTTGCCTCTACCCTACCTGTACGTTCTGCCGGCCCTTGGCACCTCCCGCTGCCCAGCAGGTGGGCGTGGCGGGCGCACCCGCAAGTGGTGCTGGTCTGGTGCAGCGCACGCGCGCTCGAGGGCGCGTTGGCCGGCGGCGTCCGCCTCGAGGCTGGCAGAGCTGCTTGCTTGTCGGGCGTTGCTTAGAAGTGGTCCTCCCAGATGGGCCTCCCAGATGGGGTCTCGGCTGGGCCTCTAGGGGGCCACATGCAAACCCTACCCCTACCCTCCACGATTTCTGAGGGGGAGGGTGGGAATCACGTTACTCGGGAGCTCCCGAACGACGTGTTCCCCACCCTCCCACTCAGAAATCGGGGGGGGGGGGTTAGGGGTATGGTCCGCATGTGGCCCCCTAGCCTCCCAGATGAGCGCCCAAGGTTATAGGCCTCCTAGATCGGGTTCGAGTAGATGGGGTCGGGGGATCGCGCCGCATCACCGATGCACCAGCGATGCGGCGTCCCTGACGCATCCGCGGACGTCGCCGATGTATCGCCGATGCATCGGCGACGCGGCGCGATCCTCCGACCTCATCCACCTGACGCCCATCTAGAAAGCCTCTGGCGTCGGGGGCTGCCAGCAGTGGTCCTGGCCCAATGTGCCCCCAGCTTTCTGACGTTCAGGGGCGGAGGAGGAGGAGGAGAAGGAGGAGGAAGATGAGCAGGAGGAGGAGGAGGAGGAGGAGGAGGGAGGAGGAGGTGGAGGAGAGGG